ATTGCTGAACATGCATTAATATCACATACATCTCATCGTTTTAGTTATTGGTTATTTGGTATGGCAATTTTGGCTGCAATTCAAACTACTGTAAACTTTAATTATTTCATAACTTTAGGTGTATGTGGTATAGCATTTATGTTTATTGAAAGAAAGTTATATTGGATTGGATTATTTGTAATTTTATTAGAATTGGTTGGTTATGGAATTTATATTGGATTTAATAGAGCCATTCCATCTCCTAGTTCTCTTGGTGTTGGTGTAGCTAAAGCTGAACCTGGTAGTGGACCTGACCCTGGTCACATCTTTGCTTTGGGACTTGTTGCCGGCAGCTTATCTTTTGGTGGTGCTTATGTAAGGTTTATTGTATATAATGGGTGTTCTCAAGCAGCACGCTCGATGCGATTTGCTATTGATTGAAATAGTGCTCGACTGTTATGGCATTATTAATTAGACCATTTTTGAGGGACGATAGTATGATGTTGAAGACCGATAGTATGGACGATGATATGATTGAAGTATGCTCATGCATCTTCCACAATGGATTAATTTATGATCGTGTTGGTGCTCAAGGATTAGGATTAATTAAAATATTGATTGCAATTGATGCTTGAGCAAACGTCTTTATCATTACTACCATTTAGCGATTATTGTTTTTACAAATAGAAATAAAAATTAATGAAAACGATGGATCAACGAAAGGAAAAAGAATTCCAAATTCTGTTACTTCTTTTTCAAATAAGTCCAGTTTCATTTAAGGCTACAAAAAGGTCGATAATATCTTCTTCCTTTACCACGAACCAGCAAAACACAAAAACGTGTCCTTTTTATTTGCGACGAATATTTTTAGCATAAGGCAATAATAATTCGTCAACGTTGATTTAGATTCTAAAAAGAGTGAAGTACTTGAGTAATTATTTTTTCTGATCAATCAATGAAAATGTCGACCAATAAACGCAACTCTATGATAAAAAAAGAACGTCTGGGCCTCTATCTCTTGTTGATTGGAATGGTAAATACCCTTGGTCGGTTAAACGAACTTCCGCTAATAAAGTGGTTTATTCATTGGAATAATAAATACAATTGATTCGTTAACCAATTTTTTTACTAATAAAAATTTACCCTCAGACCCTTTCTGACAGGTTGATTAAGGTGCCTGAGAACACCCAATGGCTATAATTATTTATTTTATTTCTTAACAAAATAATAATAATTTTTTTCTTTATTTCATTTTTAAGGTAACGATACCATTTTTACAAGGTATACTATTTTATTTATTATGTTTCCTTGATTAATTTATATTTTGAAAACTTTTAATTGATAGATTGAATCTAATATCTTATAGCTGAAGCAGTAACAATAGGACAATGGATGGCAGTGTCGACATTTCTTGATTCTATTGCTATTGGAAACATAGTTCCCTCACCATTAGTAATGTTCTCCACATTTATAGGTTTTCAAGCTGGTTATCTCTGGGGAGGTTATAGTATAGGCTTTGGCTTTCTAGGTGGTTTACTCATAGCTGTAGGAATGCTTTTTCCATGCTTTTTATTTACAATATTAGGACATAATTTACTTGAAAAATTAGTTCGCAATAAATTTCTAGCAGCATTTTTTGATGGTATTTCTGGAACTGTTGTTGGAATTATTGCTATAACTGCAATTAATTTACTTAATTCTTCAATAACATCTACAACAGGTCTTGCGGATGTATCACAACAAGATTTACCTATTATTCTAGCAAAAAATAGTAGTATTGCGGCTGTATTATATATTTTGACTTTGGCCGCTTTGTATGGATATAAAAAACCATATTTATCCTTATGGTTAGTAATTTTTGGTGCTATAGCTGGACAATTTTTATTTGTTAATAATTAATAGTTTTATATAAAATTAATTTATTTTATAAGGTTTTTATATAAAATAAAAACTTATAGATATTTTTAATTTAATATTTTATAATTTTGTTAACATTATAACACTAATAAATTCACTTTTTAAATATTACGACCAATTTTGTTCGACCTGGAATTTAATTCCTTAATCTTACTTGATTTGTGGAAATACTTCTAGAATATAAAAGTAAAGGTTGTTATCTCAATTAAAGCTGAAGTTGAAAGTAATGAAAAACATAATATTATTGTAGAATTGAAACTGAAAGAATGGATGACGCTGATAGATTATACAATGTTTGATATCGTTATTATGAATTAATGTTAAAAAGGATATGAGATGCTGATAGATTATATAATGTTCCATATTGTTATCATTGTGGAATTGATTTGAAAAGGATGAACGATACTGACAGATCGTATAATGTTAAATATTGTTATTATTATGGGATTGGAGTTGAAAAAGATGGACATAAGATGGGTGACACTTTTGGAAGATAATTTTGGATTTTGTTTTCTTTGTGGAATTGGTTTTGAAAGAATGAACTTAAGATGGTGTGGTGTTGATGGAACATAAAATGTTGAATATTGTTATCTTCATAGAATTGATACCGAATAGGATGAATATAAGATGGGTAACATCAATAAAATTATAATTAAATATCAGAGGTACTGAAAAATCAATTGCAATTATATTTTATTATATATAAATGATTCCAATTATTATAAAAAAAATTTTGATTTCAAATTAATGATATAATAGCAATTTTTGCTTTTATGAAAGGTAATCAATTGACACTTTATGATAAGGCTCACACAGTTAAAAAACATTAACTACACTTACACTATAATTAAAATATCAGAATCTACTATGGATTAACATTTCCAATACTATATTGGTAAATTAACAAAACATTCATGTTTGCGTTTAAATAAATTATACACGTCACCACAAGAAATTTTCCCCGCACGTGATGATCATCCGATAGTAGTATTCAGAAAAAGTAAAAACATTCTTCCTTTAAATTAAAATATCTTCACAACAACCTGGCCAAATTCGATAACTTTTTTTAAATTGAATTCTATGGATTCATAGAATTAAAATAAAAAAAATTATCAGATTTGATTAGGTGGCTATGGAGAAAACTTTGCACAAAGTTAAAGAAAAATCAAAACGCCTAACAAAATTGAAGCTGCGTCAACTTTTTTTAAAAATTTGAGCGAAGAAATTTCTACAACTGCCTGACTAAATTCGATAAAAATTTTTTTAATTTGAATTCAACGATTTCATAGAATTCAAATATAAAAAAATTTATCTAGTTTGGTCAGGTGGTTTTGGAGATATCTTTGTTCAAAGTTAAAAAATCAAACGTCAAACTACCCTAGGTGCCGCACAAAATGCGCGGCAGATCCTCGATTTTGATTGGCTAACGGCCGAGAATCTTCAAAATTTTAACCGCATTACATAATTGTTTATAATTTCCGGCGAAATTAATTTTTCAATTTTTTCATTACAAGAATAGAAATTTTTAAGAAATAAGCCCACGTTATGGTAAAATTGACCCAGGAACAATTTTCACTTAATGGGCAGCTGTGATTTCATTATGGCCTAATTTTTTCATTGCTCTTAGCCAATCAAAATCGAGGATCTGCCGCGCATTTTTTCATAGTAGAAATTGATCTATATCACCGATAAAGTACAGTATCGAGGTGACATCACACGTGATCCAAAAATATGCAGTACGCTGAAATCGAAGAATATAGAGTATTATTATTGAATACTTCGATAACAACAAAGACAATATAAGTAGTATAAGTCAAGAAGACTTCTATTAATCCCAGCAACACATAACAAGACCACAAAGGACCTTGAAACTCGGACCAAGTCTACCACGCCTTTATTCGAAGCCTTCCACTTCAAAGTCCTAGGAGCCTTTAGACGTCGACTCCATTGTTTGGAGTATTGGAATAGTAGATTATATTATTTTTGGGTTATAGACTAGTTGTTAGTTTAGTTTTAGCTTTAAGGTTATTAGTCACACCTTCTCAACGTACAGTACATTGAATTGTAGTTATGAAGTTTATACAAGTTTAACATGGGCACCTAGAGCTGCAGCGTGGCACTACTCCCATTGTGTATCTCCATTAACAATAAATTGTAAAATTTGGGGCGTTCTCAAGCGCCTCAATTAATGGATCAAAGTATGTCAAAATGAGTCGGGAATTAAATTTTAATTAACGGAAAGTAATTTTAATCGAGTTTGTCATTAAGATGTGTAAGGTAGTTTATTACGTGAAAATAGGTTAAATAGTAAAAAATGAGAAGCGAGTCTGTCATTTCAGTCAAAATATTTTTTGTCCTTAACCACCTTGCCTGGCTTATCAAAACTTTATAAATATTAAAATGAATAAAGTTTGTTCAAGCGTTTTCATACTTTTATTATGAATTTTCATTATTTTTTGTACCATTTTCGATAAACTATTTAGAATCCTTTCAACTTGTGATTGAGATCTTTATTTTGACTCATCGTTGCAATTGAGCATCACTCCAATTATTAAAAAAATCATAGTAATAACAATGTTTGAGCATATCTCAATAATATCATCATTCGTACTATTGACTTTTATCCAAAATGTTAGGGAAGATTGAAGAACAAGTACCCCCGTGATATATTCATGATAATCACATCACCTGATGAAGTGTTCGGCTACGTTAGGATTAGTGTTAGGGTTAGGCGATAGGTTAGTTTAGGATAATTTGTTTAGTGCTGGTAAACAAATGACGTAATTGCGTGATTTCTCGTGATGTGATGATCACTGGGGTACTTGTTCTTCAAGTGTCCCAAATGTTATGGCAATAGCTAAAATTACATCATAATACTTGTGCACTATTTAGATCACTATGAAATTGCATCTCGATTGATGCTTGAGAACACCCTTGATCCGAGCGAGAATTATAGTTGTTTTCATATAATTGGTATTGAAAAGGATGGATATAAGCTTTTATTATTATCAGAGATAAGATGTCAGTGGAGCATACAGTTTTGGATTATGGAATTGGTTTTAAAAAAATGAATTATTATGTGAGGTTTGTTATTATGAAAATGGAATTAGAGCTGAAAAGGATATAGAGAATGCTTGAATTTACCCAAATCGAATAATATCAACAAGACATTGAATTATATAATAGGGGTTTTAGAATTAACTTTTTTCAAAAATAAGTGGGAGTTTAAAAAAGACCCTATATTCTTTTTAGAATTCTAAATTAGAAATTAAATAGAGGTAGCCAGTAACGAAATTAGCTTTTTTTGATAAACATTTACCGGTAAACGATTATGTAAATAAGTACATACTTTAAAAAAATAAAATTTGTATGTCGTTTCTTTTGAAATAAATAAATCACTTAGTTTATCTGAAATCTGACGTAGAATCATTAATTTTGAAACCTTCAATGATATTGAACAATTGAAGAGGGCTTACGTGGTCATTTGGTATAAACCATTGATGGATTGGGACATATATTGATATCTTTATTACTATTTTAGAGTGTTCTTAAGCAGCACGCTCGATATGATTAGCTAGTGAGTGAGATAGTGCTCATCCGTTATGGCGTAATTAATTAGACCGGTTTTGAGAACAAATAGTATGGATGTTGAATATCGATAATGTAGATGAGAAATATGCTCACGTATTTTCCTCAATGTGATTAATTTATGATCATGTTATGCTCTAGTATTAAATCAATTAAAATATTGATTGCAATCAAAGCTTGAGAAAACATCTCTATCATTATTACCATTTAGCGATTATTGTTTGTACAAATTGAAATAATAATAATAAATCAGTTTTTTAGCAGCTATACGGTAGTTTTAATTGTTCAATTTTATAATAAGGCCGGACCCGGTGGTTACATTACCCCCCTCTTAGTATAAAAAAAATTTTGGGATATATGATTTTGGCCGGAGAGCATAATGCCGGGTGGAATTAAGATTAGGATCCGAAAAATTCCGAACGAACATAAAAGACGAGCAAGGTCAAACCGATAATTTCTGGTCATAAAAATGGGTTTAAATTTTATCATGGTAGTCTATTTTCACCCTCCCCCTTTTGAGAAAAGAATGTAATGTAAACCAGCGAATTAAATGATCTTAAACTATTGTTTTATAGTTTCGGATTGAACTAGTAACATCCCTAGTATTTTGATCCGAAATCACATGTAAACAGCAGATCTGTCCAGCTACCATTTTTACTGGCGACGCTAGGGTTGTTAAATACCGGGTATAAATCATGTGAAATAATATCCAGCTACGTATGTACCTGGATGGCCAATTACGGTATTACTATAGTTGTTAGACGAAACCTTTTCCGCATGATGACGAAAGACGAAATCTAGACTCCAAAAGACGAAACCTCTGACGAAAGTCGAAACCCCAAATTCTTCTGACAAAAGACGAAACCTTAAACTTGAAATGACGAAACAAAAAGATGAGACCCTAGTACTCCCTCTAAAAAAACAATTGTTATTCTCATTGAATTAGCATTTATAATTTATTCAGAGATCAATATCCGAAGTTACATATATGCCAGCAAAAATAAACCAGTTCATTTTTTCTAGACGACGCCTGGGTTGTTATAGACCGGTTGAAATAACCTTGTCAAAAATCCATAGTACTCATGTAATATCACAAATAACGAATTAACATACTGGCACAAATAATTTGTAAGATCACAAAGTAAGCACCAAGCGACTTCTCACTAGAACTGATACGTAGTATATAGTATAATACATTATAGAATATTCATTTCTAACACCTTTTAAACAATCCAAGCGCCTATTATACAATAAAATTTTTGTAATTTTTTATAACTTTCTGTTTTTTTAGTTTATTTTTTTATACACATAATCGATGATTTTCAATAACATTTATTTTATATTCGTCTTTTATTAGTTTTGTCACCCTTTACAGTTTCATTAGTTTCGTCACC